TTAGGTTTTTAATTAATTAATTAAATTTTTATAAACAAATTTTTTAATTTAATAACACTTTTTTTTTATTAATTATTTTGTAAATTAATTAGAATTAGGGTTTATTATTTTTACACTATAAAATATTTTTCTAAATAAAACACCAAAAGTATTAGAATTTCTTAGGTTTTAAATTTCTTTTCCTTTTCACCATCTCCGCGCGTTTATTTATTTTTCACCATTGTTATTTTCATAATTATGTAACTATTAAGGGATGTAATAGATAAAATAGGTTTTACTTTACTTTTCTCCCCATTCATAAATTTGTACCCCCATTTCCGAAGCGTTGTAATAGCGTAGGACATTTAATTTCCACAATTTACTGCTTTCATTATTTCTGTTAGTTTAATAGTATTGTATTATAAATACTAAAAGAAAACGTTAGATAACCATACATTCAAGACAAAAATAACTTAAATCAATCACTTTACACACGCGCACCTCTAGGGTGACCCTCACTTGTTGCCTCGGATAAAAAACAGTCATGTCCCTCGAGCGTGAGATGCTTTAGCAAAGACCCTCGGTTAAAAGATAGTAGTCCCTTGATGATCCTTCTATGTTGTCTTCGGTAAACGATTTTAGTCCCTTACAAAAAATTTCTAAAGCATCCTACAAGTTGCATTCTATGACTGTACGTTGACCCGCACTTGTCCCTCACATCCAATGATAGGGTTTCCTACTAACCAATGGTAGGGTAGCACTATCTAAAGGAGGAGGAAAAGAATGAAAGACCATTGAGTAGGTAGATTGCTCATAGTTTCTTGCTCATAAACTTTTCAAAAACAATTTTTTTTCACAAAAACAACACTTTCTTTCACAATATTTTCAAAACAAACATTTTGTATACATTCTCAACAATACGAGAATCATTACAAAATTTCCGTCTTTAGGAATTTTCAAAATATTTTCAAACATACACAAGCACAAAGCATTTCCAAAAAGTGAGCTAGCGATTAAGAGCCCGTAGATAAACTACAAATGAAAAGGGTGCTAACACCTTCCCTTTTCATAACCTACCCCCCAAACTCAGAAAATTCTCAAAAGGTCTTTCCTGTTCTTTTCACCTTTTCCTTTATTGGATAAAATAAAAGTCGGTGGCGAATCTTTCTATCCTCAACATTTGCTATAAAACACAAAACCTAAAAGTCAGTTCTCCCCACCGTATTACAAGCATACAATCAATACAATAATGCACTAATGCAATAGCAAAATAATGAATCCTAGAAAATTAAAAGAGGATAAGGGAAGAAGAAAATATACACTTAGATATATAGTGGTTCAATGTTCGTCCTCGCTATGCCTACTCCACTATTCAATGGTGTTGAAAACCATCGGAAAATAATCACGATCTTCTGCTATTTTGATAAGTTTTATTACAAGCATTTAGGTTACAATTAACTATCAAACGATAATTCTTTCTGTTGATACAGACACTAAACTATTAACAAAAACAAGGTATCTGAAAGATATTGATCCAATAACCTTGGTATCCACAATAACCTACTCCAAGTATTCTTATGTGGCAATCCACCTGATCCTACTGGTCTCTTGTCTGAGCGATTTCCATTAGCTAAGCGTTGACTGGACAACTTCCAACTTTGTCTGTGCATAATATTTCTCCAACTCCACCAAAGATGGACAACTTCCATCTCCGCCTTATATATAATTGATACTTGATCTTGCCAAAGTCTTCCTTGGAGTATAATCAAACTCTCTTCTTGATGAGTAACAATAAATACCAAACTGCATTTAAGAAATGATCTGCACCTGTAACAAACAACAAACTTCACACAAAAACATTAGATACCCTAATATATCACTAGTCTCCCTCAACACTCAGTCTTAGAGATGAAGGTCCCTAACAATGGAAAAAGACTAAGGATGAAGATGATGAATAGTGTCAGAATATCTCCCAAACACTCTAAAAGCATAATGTGTTAGTCTAGGGTTTAGATGATTCTTAATGAAGAACACGCACACACACACACTCGAGGTTCTCTCAAATTTTTGGGTAAATGAGTCTTGGCTTTGATTATTATCAAGAGATTGATTAATCATGAACAACACAACAATATTAATCATCTCTCTCTAATTCCCTCAACACAATAACAAATTGCATAAGAACAAGATGCAACAAAAAAGAGAATGAATCTGACATGAATTCGTAATCAATATGTTGTTCTAGAGAAGAAGAGAAAGAATAACGACGATGGATATAGACACACTAAGAAGAGAAGACAAAATCACTCTTTGTCTCTATGGGTTTTCACGCATATGTTTCACTCACTTATTTTCTTTCATCAAAGAAACAATTATTTAAATCAAGGATAAAAAATGGGTCTTGAAGCTTTAATTTAGATCAGGTGAAAATTGTGATTTAAATTAATTTGAATAGAGCCCAAATATAGCTTAATGGAATCAGTTGATTCAAACCAATTTTTGCAATTGATTCAGATCACATGAGGTTGTGATTTGAATCATGTCTATTTTATGATTCAAATCAAATAGTTCAGAGGCAAATCCCATTTTTCATATAGCTTTTAATTCGAATCATGTTTTACACTTGATTCGAATCAAATGAGTGAAAATCCAGATTTAAGAGTTCTAACTTGTGGTTCAAGTTACGCCTGATGAAACGACAAAGTATTAACTAGCTAGGCTCAAAAATAAAAAAAATATCAAGGAGCAAACACTCTTATTAAATGAGTAAGGAGAGTTCTCAGTGATACAACAATATAATATACTAAGCGATTAAAAATGAAATGCGAATAGAATACAAACTCACAGTCATATAATCAAATTACAAATATGCAAGTACTAAAGCGACTATATCAAATTGACAAAAACATCAAAACAAATAAGTGATACCATACAATACTGTGACTGCACTTTTAAAACCTGGGACACTCTCCATCTTAAATATTATTACAATTAATTTGTTTGTAATTTCCTAATGAGACACCATGATTATGTACCCGTGAACATTTTTTAGCGTTTGTAACCAACATGAACATTTTTCTAAATATTTTGTATGCTGGATCATGAAGAAGATCCTTGCTGCCCATTGAGGCAGCGTTTTTATGTTGGACTTCATGACGAAGATCCTTGCCGCCCCTTGAGGCGATGTTTTTATGTTTGACTTCATGATAAAGATCCTTGTCACCTGTTGAGGCAATGTTTTTTATGCTGGATTTCATGATGAAGATCTTTGTCGCCCTTGAAGAAATGTTTTATGCTGGACTTCATGACGAAGATCCTTGTCACCTCTTGAGGTAACGTTTTACGTTGTACTTCATGACAAAGATCTTTGCCGCTCCTTGAGGCAATGTTTCATGTTGGATTTTATAGTGAAGATCCTTGCCATCTCTCAAGGCAACATAGATAAGCTATACAAGCGTCTCGCGTGAGGGACTTGTAGTCTCATCAGTCGGGCTATATATAACTTCTCCTAAGGGACTTAGATTTCCCAGGCTAACCAAACTCTCGCCTGAGGGACTTAGAGTGTCCTCAGGCGGGACCAAACATAGAAATCTTGCCCATAGGCGCGAGCGAAGTCTAGCCTAAAAGACTTAGTCACAAGTCTTGCTTGAGGACTTGATATAAATCATGCCCGAGAAGTTTAATGCCTCACTTGAGGTACTTATAGTCTCATTAGCCGAGCTACATATAACTTTGCCGGAGGAACTCATATTTCTTAGGCTAATCAAACTCTCTCCTAAGGGACTTAGAGTTTCCTCAGGCGTGACCGAAAATAGAAATATTGCTTAGAGGCGCGTTAGAAGTCTAACCTAAGAGACTTAGTCACAAGTCTTGTCTAAGGCTTGATAGAAGTCCCGCCGAGAGGTTCAATGCCTCGCCTGATTGACTCATAGTCTTATTAGCCGGGTTATATATAACTCCGCCTAAGGGACTTAAATTTCCTAAGATAATTGAACTCTCTCCTAAAGGACTCAGAGTTTCCTTGGACGTGATCAAATAATATGATTTCTCTTAAAAAAAACCCGAGCTTAGCAAGCCTAGAACGTCACATAGAAAAATCCAGGGCCTCAGAATACTCCCCTATATCATGGTTTAAACACACTTTGTCTTCTATCAAGAGCCTCGTGCTTAAGAAACTGTGGTGTTATATTTGTAAAGGACCTGACTAGGGCGATAACCATGTATTGCCTCACAGAAAGGCAAACAAGCACATGTTGCCCCAAGAGGGTACCACCTTTCCCCCTAAGTAATTTCATGTCGCCCAGTCAGGGGAAACATGTGATAAGACGTTTTCAGGATAAAGAGAATTCAGAGTCAGTAACTGGCCCACATTTCATTGAAAATAAGGATTCAAAGATTTACCAATGACCAGGTGGACGAGGACCTTTTCCAAAGAAATCCTAGGCCCAAAAACCTCTATAAATACTCCTATCGTAATAGGATCTAGACATATCTTAAACCATACAAATTATACCAGACTATTGTTACCTAACAAAAATATCACACTACATACAAAGTCTCTCATCTCACGTGAGCATGTCATCTAAACTACCTCAAAACATCACCGTACATGACTTTTTATCGTTGTGAGCAAACCATAACCACCATATATCGTAATATACTTATTAAAACCTCTGAATATCTATACCCTTAGAGGGGTAACATGCACACCTACATTTTTAACCAATACAATTTTCAACTTAACTTGTTGAAACTTTCCATCCAACTTAAATAGAATTGATTAAATTATATAAAAATGTAATATAGAATCTTTGCATCATTTTCAATTTCTCAAATTAGCACATTGATTGATATTAAAGGACAAAAGGAAATAATAGAAATAAAAAAGTTTTAGTTTGACAAAAATATGATGGAAGAAATTAGTAATAGAAGGTTTTGTCCAAAGAGTAACCGAAAAAGATAAAGAAAAAGACTAGGAAGAGAACAAAGTGTGTTAGAATTGGAAATCATTCATCAGAAAGATGAGAGTTCAACAAGAGAGAATCAGCAGCACCAACACAATGTCACCATCCAGAAGACCCCTCCACATCAACATCCCACCCTCAACCTCCGCCATGTTCCAACGCATCCGCCCTTCCGTCGTCACCTCATTTCTGAAAAAACCACTCTCTCTCCCTTTCGTTCTCTCCATCTTCCTCTTCCTCGCTTGGATCTCTCTCCGTTCATATCGCACTTCTCATTCTCTCCATCTGTCTTCCCCAAACGACGACGCTAAAGCCAATCTCCGGAGATTCTCTTCCCATTTCCCTTCCCGTATTGCCAAGGATAATCGGGGGTGGATTCTTGATCCTATTGCTCTTGCAGCTTCCTCCGGCCTTTCAGGTAGTTTCTTTTTTGTTCGAATATTGCAATTTGTGAAAGTGGAAGTAACTGACAATGGTGATTGTTTGAAGGTGGAGCTGTTAATTGCGGTTCTCTTCATCTCGGTGAAATTCGACCGGGGAAGTTTAGAGGAAATCATAGACACCACGATTGTAATGAGACTTTTGTACTTTGGGGTGCTGCTATCAAGTTTAGGGTGCGTTTCTCTTATTACAAACAAATCAAAGTAGACGAATTTTGAATTTAACTCATATACATTGTTGATCTAGAAAGGTTTTGCACATGCATCCAATCCTATCTCACTATTGATGACATTCAAATTGCTTGAAGTGTATTTTGTTCCATAGTTTGTTACCAATTAGCGGGAGTGTAGCAGAGATGAGGAGGTTACGTTGGACGTGTCGTAAGACTAGACAAGATAGAATTATAAATGACAAAATTAGAGTGTTACGGTAGCAGTAGCACCTATAGTAGAAAAGTCGGTGGAAAATAGACTTAGGTGGTTTGGGGATGTAGAGAGAAAACATGTAGATTCTATAGCGATAATATGTAGAGAAGTCAAACAACTAGAGGTAGAGAAAAACCTAGAAAAATTGTAATAGAAGTTATTAAGAAAGACCTTGAGATTAATGATTTGGAGAGAAATATAGTCCTCCATAAAACATTATGACAAAAGTTGATTCATGTAGCCGATCCTATTTAGTGGGGTAATGCTTGGTTGTAGTTGTTGTTGTTTGTATAATAAATCATGATTGTGTTGATATGTCAACCATTTCTTTTCTGTTAACCGTTCCCTCAATTACTTTGAAATAGGTTGTTCTTATTTATTCTGTTAAGTTGCTGACATTAACTTGTCGTGTACTCACATTTGCTTAAGTCACTGTTTGATAAATGTGTTTGATGTTTGTTCCACGGGGTATGTATGCGACATGTTATTTAACTTAATATTGACATTGAACTAAAATGCTTGGTTCTGCTGGAAATTAAATAAGAAAGAGTTGTTGTTATATATCATTGCATGTAATGTTGGCATATACAGTCATGTAAGTGAAGTGTTGATACTTGAGACGAAGTTGCTGTTGCATGTTTTTTGCATCCACTCTTGAACCAACTGAGCATCTTTGATTAGTTTGGAGGTGTAATAATCATTAGCAGCTTAAGAAAATGACATGGTTTTTATATGCTATTGTTCATATTTTTCATTTTCGTAGAGGTAAGGTAAAAGGGGTATGGACGTGCAAATTTCACTTCCATGCAAAGACAACATCCTGACTTGTGAAGTTAAATTTGTTATTGTTTCTTATCTTTTGGGAATACTGTGCTTAAATCAGTCATAGATAGACTGGGTTCTCAATTGTATTGAAGAAAAAGTCATATCGTAATAATAATACTAAATTAGATTGTTGAATGTATTGTTCATTTTATCTAGCCATTTTATAAGTTGGTAAAGTGTTCTCTAAGTTATAAAGAATATAGATTGATTCTAACTTATGGCATCATTCTTAGAAGGATGCAGATTTCACTAAACTGTTACCTGGAACTAGGATCTATTGATGCGAACTAGATTTTGAGAACCTTTAAGATCAAGCAAACATACTTGATGATGACCATGTTGGAGTTGCTTTCATATAGTTCTCAGAGTTATCAATCCCATATAGCGGAGCGGAGCGTCCGACCCCTAAAATGGGATAGCGGGATAACCACTATTTGACTATTTTTTAGACTAATTATATAAATAATTTATAAAATATATATTTAACGTAAACCATAGAAAGAAGAGGAATAGAGTTATTAAATGAGTATTACTTTAAAAAAAATAGAGGTAATAAAAGAACAAGTGTAAAATCAAACCAGATTTATTTATTTCAAGGGTAAATCTGTGTCTTCGCGTTTAAAACAGTTCAAACCCGCTTGGGTTGGGAAGCGCCTCGCTCCCACTACCCGCTAAACATCAAATAGAGGAGGGTCACCGCTCCGGGCCGCTATCGGTAACTCTGATAGATAGTTCTAATAGTTGTTTATTTGAACAGAAGTACAAACTAATGCTTGTTGATGAGTGTATTCTAGATTAATTATAGTTTTAAATTCTAGCTTTTAAAAAAGAAGATGACCATTCTTCTTTAAATAATTAAGTATTAATCATTCTCATCATATTCTATCCTCGTCATCTCTCTCTTTACTCCACTATCCCCTCCTTTCCAACCTTCTAATGGTTATCCCTCCAACGGATGTGCCATGAAATATTTTGTGGAAAAAAATTCTGCCAAACAGATTATTCTAATCGTCATTATCAGGATTGTGAGTACAAAATTAACCTGGAGAGAAGATGAGGTCAAGATGGAAAATGTTGTTCCAAATAGAGGACAACAAGCTGATATAAATCTATGTTCTTTTATGAAGTTTCTATTTATTTATTTTTAATGTTTTTTGTTTGTAGTGTGTTTGATTTCACCTTAATATTGTATTCTTGGGCATAGAGAAGTTACAATTTTTAAGGTTAACTCAATGCAAGTGTTAAACTCTTACAAAGATAAAAAATGTATGTACATACGTGGACATTTAGAATACAATATAAAGTATAACTCAGCTAGTCTGAGAAGTAAAAAAATCATATCAAAGACACTTGCATTGAGTTAATCTTAAAATTTCTAGCTTCTCAAGTTAATCGTGAGCTATGGCCAAGGAAACGATGACACTATTAAGGTAAAATCAAACATACTACAAACAAAAAAACATAAAAATAAAATTACTAAACGAAGATTCAAATATCAGCTGCTTGTTCTTCATCTGGAATAGCAGTTGTAATCTCCACCTCTTCTTCTTTGGGTAATCCATATGACGGAATTTTTAAATTTGGTTTTCAAAAAAATCTTTGATACGTTGTTGATGCATCGGTTGGAGGAATAACCATTGGATGGTTGGAAAGGAGGTGATAGTGGAGTAGAAAGAGATGGTGAGAGAGTGTTTATGAGAATGATAGAAATGCTAGTACATTACTTAGTTATACATATGAATAGTGATTAGAGGCAAATCGATTTGATAGGTCAGCAAAACTGCAAAACTCCGTTGAACAATAATAAAGCTAAAAGAGTGAAGGGGTTGAGAGAATCCTATATTGGGAAAATTAATCTCTTTCAATAAATAAATTCACAGTTAATGCATTTGGGGTTAATATATGAATTACCCGAGCTAACAGTTAGGAGTAACGTCAAAAAGACAAAAATTCAAAAAATGATATCTCCCTTGTATTTTATCTCTCAACCAATCCCTTAATGCAATTAATATACTAAAATAATTAATATTTAATTATTTAAAGAATGATCATCTTCTTTCTTAAAGGTTAGAACTTAAAACCGTACTTCTATTCAAATAAGCATTAGAACTATTAAAAGTATATGAAAGCATTAATATACACTCACCAACAAGCATTAATATTTACTTCTATTCAAATAAACAACTATTAGAACTATATGAAAGCAACTCCAATGTGGTCATCATCATGTTATTCTTCTTGGATGGGTTAATATATGAAATTTACTATTAGCTATTAGATTTGGATTATAGTTTGCTAACTTAAAGTTGAATCAACTTCAGCAGACTAGATTTGCAAAAGCAACCCTCCCCCTGCTTCTATTTTAAATCCGAGTTTGAAGGCAACAATTTTGTTTTCTAAATGTCTCCAACTGGAAACCAAACAACAGCTAGTCTTGCTGGGGTTCTCAATGGAAAATCGATACCCACGTACATTCTAAAAATCAAGTTAAGCCTTTGGAAATTAATTTGATTATATGTTATATTCTTTTGCAACTTTTTACTGTAGAAAAATAAATAGCCACTAGTACACCTCAAACTAATTACTTGGAGTGTTCTGTAGGAAAAATTAGGGTTCTCGAAAGTTATACAGCTCTAAAAATACGATTCCGTTGAAATGAAGATTATATACTTTTTTGAATTTAAACATCATTGTCAAAATCTTGAGTTCACAGTATCTATAATTTGCAGGTGGAAAACAGTGCGGTAACTGATATTGGTTATGCTGAGGTGACCATAGCTAGAGATGAGGTTATTGTTGCAGCTAGCCCTGCTCACACAGCTCATGCTTTAATAAACATAGATCCGGCTCGGAGTGCGTATTTTATAGGATGCCAAGATAGTATCATAAACTATAATGCCTCAAGTACGGACTTTAATGTTTGGAAAGATATTTAAGTTGTTACTCTGTACAGGTTTCCACGTCACATTGCTCTTGATAAAAAAGTCTAAGATGTTGCTAAGACTTAATACTATGATTTTGTTGCCATACAGAATGAGAAAGTTTTATCTTATAGATGTCTATAATGTACAGACTTAGTTGCAAACTCAGAGAGTATGAGCTTTCTATAGGGTTGCAAAACAGAATGACAGAGAAAGGAGGTACAGTTTATGCCTTTGTTTATCAAGGAATGGAGGGAGAAATTTATTCACTGATTATAAAGGCAACATGATTTTTTTTTATCAAGTTATCTTTGTTAACTCTTTAATTTTAATTGGTTAATAAGATATTGTTAACTCTTAAATTTTGATCAAATTCCATATGCATTGTGGATGTTGGCCATTAACTGTAAATATCTATTATCATTACTCATCAGACAGTGAAAGAAATGATGTTGGTGTCTGTCAATATTCACTTAATTTGTAGAGTACAATTCTTATGTTCTATTTTATTTTTCATTGGAAACTGAGTTTTGTTAGTCTGCAGAATATACTATCTTAGCTTATTGTGTTTTATTCAATTATGCATAGTATTCTGTTAGCCTGATTGCATTTGTATTCAATTATGCATGAAAATATTTTGCTAGCATGATTGATTAGCCATAGAAACTTGGCCATTCAAATTTGTTAGCTTTACAATTTGCCCTTTTGAGTTTGGGGCAATGGAGTTTCTGTCATACTATGCCCAAACCGAAATCAGTTTACTGCAATGCAAGCTAGGATCCTTTATATTAGACCTGGGGTATGGTGAAAGTTTTTTAGCGTTAGGCTGTCCTTTTTGGACACTGCTGTTGTGGTTTTGAGGTTGTTATCTATGAAGCATGGACACTAAAAATATGATACCAACATTAACACGACAACATTAGTAATAATTTGAAAAAATGAATTGAACGTAATCATAAGCGTAAGTGTCTGTGTCTAACACTGATACTTACACACTTTTTTTTAGAGGTGTTGATACTTTAGAGGTTGTTATCGTGGCAATGATCGGTCATCTGTTGGAACTTGTACATTTGTCATTCCTTGTACCATGTCCACTTTTAGCGGTTCATTACTTATTTGCCTTTGCTTAAATAGTTTTGAACGAGGGAACACGTGAAGTGCCTATGACTTGCAAGAAAAGAACTACATTGGGTGTCACTTTTACGCAAAGATTGTTTGTTTCTAGAGCCCAGAAATAGAAGTCATTGGATTTGTGACGAATAATTGAATACTAAAAAACAAAAAGGAAGCTCAAATCATATGAATTCTGAAATCAAACGCAACAATGTCATGTTCAAATATCCAAGTCCTAATTTAATATTCCAAAAATAGAAATTTCGTTCACCTATAATTATGCCTCACAAGCAACAATTTCAAGTCCTAATTTTAATATTCCATCGCTTGAAAGGCAATACAATTGTGAATTGTCACATAACATTGCTAAAGGAAAACCCAAAAGCAATGTAATTGACACTCCTAAAGAACTATAAAAGAGACCCAAATGAATGAGCCATTAAACTCAAAGCTTGTTCATAATTCTTTTGATAAACTTGCTTGAAGAGTTAAAATATTTGAACCCGTTGCAATCTGCAACATGGAGGGGAAAAACAAGAGGCTAGCAGTTTTGGTAGGGTGCAATTACCCAAACACTCCAAATGAATTGCATGGTTGCATAAATGATGTGTTGGCTATGAAGGAAACATTGGTGAAGCGTTTTGGTTTCGATGATTCCAATATCGAGCTTCTCACCGATGAACCTAAAAGTTCTCCGTCAACTATGCCAACTGGTGCTAACATTAAGCAAGCATTATCTAACATGGTTGATCGAGCTGAATCAGGAGATGTTCTTTATTTTCATTATAGCGGACATGGAACTAGGATTCCTTCAATGAAATACGGACATCTTTTTCGACACGAAGAAGCTATTGTACCTTGTGATTTCAATCTTATCACTGGTTTGTATCAACTCTTGTGATTTTAATCTTATCACTAGTTTGTATCAACTTTCTCGATGAAACGCGAAATCGTAGGGTATTCAACAATTTGGTATTAAAACTAACAAACTTTTATTTTTATTATTGTCATATGTAGATTTGGACCTCCGGCAAGTCGTGAATCAGATTCCGGAAGGATCAAGCTTAACAATTCTTTCAGATTCATGTCATAGTGGAGGCCTAATTGACAAAGAAAAAGAACAAATTGGACCATCCAAATTGGAAGAACAAAAAAATGGCACATTAAAACAAATTCATAATAATAAACCAAAAATTATTCCTTATGAGTTAATATTTCAACACCTCTCATCATTAACAAACATAAACACAACAGACATTGGAACTCATTTACTCGAATTCTTCGGCTCCGAAGCGAGTATGTTGTTTCGACTTCCTTTACATGATCTCGATTTGTTCCAACCATTGAAACCTGATGAAGGGATTCTGTTGAGTGGTTGTCAATCTGACGAGACTTCCGCGGATATGAGTCCGAATATGAGCAACGGAAAAGCTTATGGAGCATTTAGCAATGCAGTTCAGATTGTGTTGAAGGAAAATAATGGTAAATTGAGTAATAGAGAGGTTGTGATGAAGGCTAGAGATCTTCTACAAAGACAAGGGTTTGAGCAACATCCTTGTCTTTATTGTAGTGATGAGAATGCTGATGATGTCTTCTTGTTGCAATCTTAGGACTCAGATTTGTGATATTTATGTTGTTCATATTTGTAATATTGTATGGATTTTATGTTGTTCAAAATGAAGTATTTGTCCATATTTGTAATGTTGTATGAAATAAATGGAAATAAGTATTAGTTATTGAACAAAACATTGTTCCAATATGAGATTTAAATTCACTTTTACATTTTGGAAAGTTGTCAAAAAGTGATGCAATTTTACATTCATAATAAATAAAGTGATCAAATATATTCATATATTTAGTTACTTTCATTATCATCATCACCCAAATTCATTTTATTTGGCTTTTGAAATTTGTCAACATTGTTTGCTAATGAGTCTTAATCCTGTCCCATATACATTCATTAAGCCACTTTAATTTGTGACATTTATTAAAGTTGTCATGTTTTTTCATGGTCAATGTCTATAATACCACGGGTGTTGTGCCAATCTAATTATGTTCTTTCCATTAGTCCCTTGTCTCCATTTCATCAAAAACATTTTATTCTTAAATTTTAATGTTTTAAATTAATCGTTACTTTAAAACTCACTCGATTATTTACCAAGGTTGATATATAATTTTTTGATTATTATATATCAACTCACTGAATTATTCTATTAGAAATAATTAGTAAATTAAATTTTAATATTAAAAGTGACGCCATAATAATTTTGTATAAAATTATTACACCTTCAGCATTGTGTTTCTTAAGTATGTTTGGATTGACGGTAGAAATGATTATTTCTATCAAAATTGAGTTTGATAGAATTGATTTTAATAAAATTGAGTTTAGTAAAATTAATTTATATTTGTATATATTTATGTAAAAATGAATTGAATAATAAATTTCACTGTAAAAAATATCCAAAATCAATTATGGAGACATAAACTATAAATTCTAACTTCAAGTAAAATCAATTCTGAAAACAAAATCAATTTTATTTTTAATAAATCAAACATTTTAAAATCATTCAAAAATCAATTATACATCTCTAAAATTGATTTTAAAACTTATAGAAGTCAATTCAAACATACACTCAAACGAATCATGCAATTGAAAGTATCTTTGTACAAAAGATTTTAGAGGGATGAGTTTATATTTTGTTATACATATGTGATTTTAAAAATTATCAAAATAATATGATAGATGATCATGTAAAGTTAAAGGTAAATTTATTTATAATTAAAGTTAATATTTCCATTTCAAATAACGGTCACATCTACAATGAGGTTTAAAGTGTTAGTGCAAGGTGATGAAATGGAGGAAGAAGAGAGAAAAGGAATAAATGCTAAAAGCTGCCACTAATGATTGAAGGAATTGATTGATATAAATGTAAACCTAGTACACCTATTTATACACAAATAAGAATGCCACATAGGGCATAATCAAAAATATTTACAAATGACAAATACTAAATTACCCTCTAATACCATCCCGTAATTTAGTATCTTATCAGAAGTTAACAACACCAATTTCATCTCTCAAACGAAGAAATTGGTCTGTTTTTATTGCTTTTGTCAGAACATCTGCTAGCTGCTTCTGAGTGCTACAGTGCAGAACTTCTAACACTCCTTTCTGCACTTGACTTCTGAGAAAGTGATACTTCGTCTCAATGTGCTTGCTTCTTCCATGCAGCACTGAATTCTTTGCAAGATTAATTGCAGACTTATTATCAATCATCAGCTTCGAGGTTCCTCAATTTCAACCTTCAGATCATGCAGCAGATTCAAAAGCCAAACTGCTTGACACGCAGCTACAGCACCTGCAATGTATTCAGCTTCACATGTTGACAAAGCCACAACCGGCTTTTTCTTGGAACTCCAAGAAATTGGACCTCCCAGAAACTTGAACAAGTACCCAAAAGTACTTCTTCTGTCAACCCTATCTCCACACCAATCAGAATCAGAATAACTCAGAAGTTCTGATTTGATCTTTCCTCCAAAAGGAAATAACACTCCATATTTCAGAGTTCCTTTTATATACCTCAGAATCCTAACAACAGCTTGGTAATGAGACCACTTTGGTTTGCTCATGTATCTGCTGACCATTCCAACTGCATAACAAATATCAGGTCTGGTATTACACAAATACCTCAGAGAACCAACCATCTGTTTGAAGGTTGTAACATCCACATCCTCTCCATCAGAATCAGAATCCAACTTCTGATTCGTATCAGCAGGTGTGATAGCAACCTTGCAATTTGCTAGCTCAAATCTCTTCAGAAGCTCCAGTTCATACTTCTTCTGATGTAAGATGATTCCTTTCTCAGAGTATATAAATTCCATTCCTAGAAAGAAACTCATTT